AAAGTATGTGCTGTTTGTTTAAAACACAGAAAAGACAGATTCAGTATTCATAGGCTACATAAGTAATTCCTTGCCTGAGTTGGTCCAGTACAATAAAGAAACAAATCCTTGCAAAGAAAAATTGAGAAAACTGAACCAATGATTATTGGAAGATAATTTCCTATGGGGAAGTAGATTAAATGGTTGTTTCCGAAGTTGTTATATGCTATGATTAAAAAATTAGTTGGTACCAAATGCCTGTGCATTAGTTTTTATTCCTGCAACGTCCTACTTGGGAAATAATAAAAATCTACCTGAGCATCTTAGTTGATGGAATTTTTGTAGTTCTGGTTGCACTCAGTTTTTCAATCACATACTAAGAAATCAGAAAATAAACAACAACTGTTATTATATACTATGTCTATAGAAGAGGACAACCTAGGAGATTGCCTGTTACCTATTCCTGTGTGCTTTCCATTCATTCTGTACACTAATCCAACCATTGTTTGTTTTCCAGCAGCCTTTCTGAAAAGCTGTTTTTTACTATGTGCTACCAAACCCCATATACGTGTGAACTATTTTGCAGAAAGGAGGTGTAACCCCAGAGTGCTCCTGCTTGTAGCTTTCAGGAAGCTGGCATGCTTGAGGAGCACAACATGTGTGCACCTCTGTTGCTGTTCAGTTCTCTGAAACAGAAACCAGGCTTATGGAAATAAAGGGGGTTGAGGAGCATCTGTAAGTTGGTGGGTTTGGGCCAGTTGATACTGGATTTGGCTGCAGCAGAAAAGCCCGTGGGACTCCAGGTGAAACATGTTTCCTGGAAACTGAGTTGTATGTTGAAAGTTAGTTTTGAGATTATTTATCTGAATGTAAAGGAGTATTTGACACCAGCTAGGGACTTACAGTAGTAGGGGTGACATAGGCTGTAGTTTTAAATCTGCTGAAATTTAGATTTTCTTGGTCGCTGTGGTCTGCTTGAATGCGCCAACTGGTGTGTGAGTAACTTGATGCCTTATGCACACAGGGGCAAGAGGGCAATCTGTGAGAGTATCCAGAAGTGTTTGCTATTAGATCTGAGTACCTTGATGGTCTTGAGAAAAATGTGTCCTGAAATTATTCCCCTGAATATAAAGGGAGCAGTCATTGCTAATGTAACTCTTAGCTCCAACTGTTCATAAAAACTGCATGACTGTTTTTGTAGCTGTGGATGAACCCCAGTATTGTGAAGCTTTAAGACCATTGGCAGTCACAGAACAGGAGGAGAATTAACAGCCTCTCTGTACTGTTCGGGGGGGGATGGATATGCTAACTGTACTGTGATGTTGGCAGGTTCCCCAGCTCTCTTGTACCTGCTTCACCATCTAGAAACTGGGACTTAGTTATTGTGTTCTTACAGCTTTGCCCCTAGTGTCTCTTGCTGTATAAACTGCAAGAGGCTAGGGAAGCAAAAACACTTGTAATGCTCACAGGGCATCTGATTGCTGAAGAAAGAGCAGATCTGGTATGAAGGGGAAACACTTTCCCTTTCACCCTCTATGGATATTGCTGGCCATAACAGATATGGCTTTCTGCACTTGAAAGCAGGAATATGTGGTGTTTTTCAGAGAAAGAAGTGTGTGTGGATCAAAGTGGGGGGAGTTAAGACATTTTCAGGGAGGTATGTATCGTATTGAAGTGCATTGAAATGATGACTTGTTGTAAATTGTTTACTTATAAGTAAAGGAACTGGTAGTAAAGGTGATGCCTTTGGCAACTGACTAATTGAGAGTTGTCGCCGATCAATTTTTCTGCTTGTCCTGTTGAGAATAAGGTACAGCTGCCTTGATATAGCTATGATCTGTAGATTGCTTGCTGCAGACATGTCTGGTTTCGCCCTTTGTGTTAAGAACAGAGATAATGTGTGAATTTACCCACTATGATATAACCAAACCACCATTGGCTCTTACCTTACTGACTGGGGCTTCACTGGCAACATCTTAGATCAGCTGACTACAAAATTGAGTATGGCCCAAAGCTAAAAGAGTTGATCAGCTGAGCGTGATTCACCTTCGTTTGTGAGCATACGCACATTCACGTCTTCAACAATTTAGTCCTTGACTTGCATCTATAAAATGGCAAGTAAAGGCTGTTGGTTGAGAAGAGGTGTAGCATAAAATTGATACAAGGAAATACAACAGGCAGGCAAAACAAGAGTGATGCCTGGAGTAGAAAGCTGAAAAGTAAAAGAGGAAAGTGTTTAAAGCCTGGCTTTTAATAGTGATTTTAAAAATAGATGCAACAATTACCTCAGTCAAATAGGTGCAACGGTTATTGTAGAACTTTCATACGTAGGGAATTGTGATGTCTGTGTTTTCTGGTTTTGGGAGGGGAGGGAGAATAGGGTTGTAATTTCTTACCTCCTTCTACCTATTCTGTCTTTCCTTGCTTTGTAAAAGATTAGAGCTTTGATTTCAGATCCTGCGTGTGTATCTCTGTGGGTGGATTCTTGCACCTCCAAAACCTCATTGCAGGGTGCTTGTTGAATCAGGATATGGCATTACTGCTTTGTTAGTGTCCTTTTGTGCTGTATGCTGAAGTATATTCTGATTAATGCTAAAAGTACTGACCCCCTCCTGCCCTCCCCTTGCCGAAAGAAAACTGCAAATACTAAAACAAATGCAGTTTGAGCTGTGCACATCACCAAAAGGGTAAAGTTACAAATAAGTCAACTAGGATTTCAAGGTCAAAATTATTTTCTTCCCCATTTTGGTCATCTGATGGTCTTAATGTATACTAAAATGCGTTCTAAATGTATTTGTTACCCCGAAATTAGCGATATGATTGGTACTGTCTACATTATGTCTAAACAGCACTAGTTGAAGGATAGTCCTGAAAGAAAGCTGAGCAACTTCTCTCCACCCCAAAAAAAAACCCCTCAGAAAATTTTCCTTAGTGTATTTTCTGAATTTTGTTTCATGTGCAGACACAGAGGGAGTATTTTGAAGAAACAGAAGAAAATATTGACGAAGTCAAAGATCTGTGTTAAAGAATGGATTAAATAAATGTTTGTGAGTCATAAGAACCAAACAACAAAAATATTTTTCTTTCCAGAAACATTCCATCCTATTTTGATCATCAACAATAAAGCTGAAAACAACAATGAAGCTATTGAATCTGGAATGCCAATTGCTATCCAAGAAAAATGACAGTATATCTAAATAATGCAAATGTCTTAAAAAAAAAAAAAAAGGAAAGAAAAGAAATACTGTATTTTAATTATCTGGAATATTATAATTCCAAGCGTGTTCTAAACTCAAAGGTAATTTTTTTAAAAAACTTAAATTCCAAAATAAGAGAATAAGTTATGTTGTCCAAATATAAAAGTGTGATAAATAACTTTCTATTAAAATTTAGGGAGTTTTAATAGAAACTTCAGGTCTTAATAGAAATTGAATTGCTTCAATTTGGCGCTGCAGGATCGACACTGAGTTGTTTCATAGATTCTCCAAATACTGTTATTAAGCCTGACATGCTGGAGAATATCATGTGTTAGGTAGAATCAGGATTGAATCCCAAAGGTACATCCTTAAACTGTATAATCAGATTCCCATTTCAATGTCACTTTTATCCTTCAAAGAATAGGTGCTTGTTTCAGTGATGATTTGTCATTAAAATTATGTCAAAATGTCTTAAAATGTTGAAACTCTAAACAAACTCACAGCACACACAGGGCTAATTATGGATGCCATCTGTTTATTTTTACAAAGCTTTTTTCTTAAAGACCAAAGCATCTTCTTGTTCTGATAAGCCACGAGATTATTGTAATGACTACATGTTTTCCTTAATACTAGTGTACTTGAAGGAAGAAAGACAAGTGGTTTGGTCACTGACCTTTTCCTGTGTCACAAAATGTACGTGGTGTGACATTTCATGATACAGAAACCATTGTGAAGTGCATTTTCTTAAGATATTTTGGCCCTTGGAAGACAAACATTTTATAATAAAAATGGCAGTTCTGTCATAATTTCTATATGGAAAGTCTTATGGCTGTCTCTGTGTGAAGAACATGCTTTTAGCATGCCTGTCTCTTACTTCATCTGCATGGTGGGCCCTCCTATCTTTGGGTGCTTTTTTACTGTACTATGTCTAGTTAAAGGTCTTTTTAAAGTTAATAAATGTGATCATTTATATCCCCATTTCAAAGAAAAGTGTGTGTGTGCATGTGCGTATGCGCGCACATGTGTGCATGCTTGTACGCACATGCTGGGGTTAGTGTGAACGACGGGTATTCCCATGGCAGCATCATCCAAAGCCGTTAGCAGCAATTTGCTGAGAGCGCAGAGCGACTCTACTGGTCCAGCCCAGCTATTGTGCATGCTAAGCACTAAACAGATAAGTCTGGAGGGGGAAAAAAATTGAAGGATCCATCTGCTCATTTCTGCTACACTGCGCTGATGCAAGATTACGCTAATCTGGTTGCTTGTCAGGACAGGTTAGTGAAAGCAGGCGAATGGGTGAGATTTAGGGTAGGCTAGTTCTATGGAAAATTATAAGCGGCTCCTGTACGTGCCATGTTAAGTGTAGCAGAACGGGTTGATTATCAGATACTTTGAGGTTTTCAGTTAAAATGTATGTACTGCTACAGTGTGAGTCTTTCAAAACAAATTCGAATGGGAAAAGCTTCTGAACAAAGAAAAATTAACTCCTTGTCACCAGGTGCATTTGAATTTGTAGAATTAATCAAAAAATCCCAGCAAACCCCCGAACTCTCCTAGGTGTTCTCTATACTTTTCCTTTTGTATGCTGTTCCTAGTTATTGTAACTTACTAATTATTTTATTTTTTGATGTTTCCCTGCAAAGATGGGAGTTTGTCAAGTAGAAATTTTTTGGGGAAAAAGACCAAGAGGGGAACGTATTCTCTGTCTGTTCTTTGGCTGGTCTAATTTCTTGTTTTATCTGTGTTTGTTTACAGAGAGAGATTTTGTTGTTGTTGTTGTTGTTGTTTTTGTTACCTACTGACTGACAGTTCTTGACCTTGCAGGTTGAACATCCTGTCACAGAATGCATTACCGGCCTGGACTTAGTCCAAGAAATGATCCGTGTTGCTAAGGGTTACCCTCTGAGGCACAAACAGGCTGATATTCCCATCAATGGCTGGGCGGTTGAATGTCGAGTTTATGCTGAGGTAAATGAGTGGTAATGGGCAGGAGGGTAGGTGGTTGAATTGTGGAGTAATAGTACCCAGGTGTGAATAGATGCCAACGAATATCATATGAAAGTCACGATTTAGAGTATGTAACGCAAATGGTTAATGAGCTTTCGTAAAACTGTAGATTTTTTATGTTTTAATTAAAAATACAGTTTGTATGTCAACATAGCTTTTTTTTTTTTCCAAAAACCAAAGTTCAAAATGGTCAAAGAGATAACTGAGGTTTATTTCTGAAGTCATTTGCTCTATGTTCTGTTCACATTTAATGATGCAGTGCTGGAGTTATTTGCTACAGGTAGCTAGTGTTTTCACGTTTCTTAACTTGTGTGCTTGAAACTTGTTGGCTTAGGCAGTTAAAATCCAATAGCTTATGGAATTTTTGTTGTTGTACTAAAACATTGTAATAAGTTGTTGAAAAAGCAAGTTACATGTCTTCAGAAACTACAGTTCATAGGACAAACTTTCAAAGTGCTTTCCAAGACAATAACTTTTTAATTATGGTATGACTCTCTATCTCACCTTAAAGAAGGTTACCAAAATATAAACCTCATTTTGAAGCATGTTTAAGACATTTCAAGGTAATGTCTTTTTGCGATCATTTTTGATACATAAAAATCAAGATTTGTTAAAAGGATGCCTAGCTTCCTTCATTTTGTTTTTGGAATGTTTTAGCTAACTGTGCTTTTCAAAAATAATTCAGCACCTTGAGATGTTTTTTCCCTTGTTTAACTATTGTGGCTTTTGTGACCTAGGACATCTTATTTTATATATTTTTTTTTCTTTTTCTTCATGACGTGCACGTAATCTTCAACTTGCTCTACTGTTTACAAGTTATATGAACTATTTTGATAAAGAATAAATATTTGCCCTGTGATTGGCATGGAAGCCATTCTGAGTGTGAGTAGGCTTTACCCTGGAGCAATGGATGTTTGGGCTTTTTTTTTGTTTGTTCAACTTATATTCCCTCACATTTATAAGTAATAAATCCAGCTATTTTGCAATAAATTTGGTTATTCTATAGGCCATATATTTGTTTGCTGTCCTGTTAAGTTTATACTGTTATTGCATTATGTAGGAGATTTCCAAAGGCATAAAAGTCAGTTTGATTTCTTAAGATAATTGAATTTCTTAACTACCCTTTTTATCTCTGAAATTTTTTTTCCTTATACTCTTTTCTCAACTCCACCCTTATGAATACTTTCCCGTCCTTCTTCCAAGGCACAGTGTAGCAAATGAAAATGTCATCTTTGTATATTTTGGTGGTGTACTGTAGCTGAGTGCAGAGCGCTTCTTCCCTGCTTTTTGACTGTGATACAAGAGAATTTATACGCTTCCAGTTTTTTATTTGGAGTTGCAGGGGTAGGTGGATGAAGAAACGTACTTTAACACAATTCTGGGGAAGAAAACAAAGTTATTCCAGCAGTGGTTTCTGTTAGATTTTAAGCTTTTTAATATTATCTTCTCTGCATCTGTAAAAACTTAATGCTGTCTCACATTGAATTTTATTTCAGGACCCCTACAAATCTTTTGGCCTGCCATCCGTTGGTAAACTCTCTCAGTATCAGGAGCCATTGCATGTGCCAAGTGTAAGTAACTTGGTTCTGGTTTTCATAGATGCCGAGTGTCACTTTATAGACAGAAACTATAAGTACTCACCAGCTTTGTAAATCGGGCCTTTTTTCCATCTTTTTGCCAGGAGGGACGGCGACAGGACGTGGCAGTATTTATTTGTGCAACCTGAAAAACTGCTTAAAAATGTAGAGTTCCAAACTGGGTTTATATCAGGAAACCGTTATATGTTGAAATATTTTGTTATGTTCTGTAACTTTCAGCTTAAGTTTTTCAGACACAGCTTTAGTAAAAATAACATGGTAATTAGAAAGGACAGTGAAATGTTGAGTCAGGTCTTTAAGCACAGAGAACTGGGGACACCAGTGGGAAACTGCCAGTGCTTTCTGTTTAGCTTTGTAGACTTTAAAGAGGAAACTTGTTACAGCGACTATTACACGTTTCAGGATACGTTTTAACTATATGGAACAGCTGTTTAACAAACAGTGTTTTCTGCTATGTGTAAAGAACAAGGACACTGCCTTTCTGTAAAATCAAGGTAGGCTAAGTCGTAAGTGCATATATACATGACAGTCTGTCAGTTAGTGGAATGATGAGGCTGCACCATCTGTGAATATGATTATTCAGTCTGATTGCATGGAAAATAGTGAAGGATTACAGGAGGAATCTTAAATGTGGAGATGTTATTGGATATATGATTTATTTCGCTTCTTAAATTGTTTTTGCCCGTGTACTTTCCGAAGGGACCTGACCCTTTCTGGTCTTTAAGGCTTCATGCTGTGTTCAAAGCCTGAAAGCGGAAAAAAAATGTGAAGATCTAAAAGGCATTATGTGATCTTAAAGAGGAGATGAGGGAAAAAGGTATCATTGGATGTATCTAAACTTTTTTTTTAATGAAACAAAGAGTGTATTTAATAAGAATTTATAATGAATACTCCAGTGGTTGTTAGAAGTTTTCACCATGTTGTAATAGCTAACAGGATGTCAAACATTTTGCCCTTGCAAGTTTTTGCAATTTACAATTTTCCAAACGTGAGACCTGTTGAAAGTACAAGTGATAATGGACAAACTATACCCCCTACAGTCTTTGCCCCACCAAATCTTTCTTCAATTAATGCTGCAGCAGGAGTTTTATGTAATAACATTTGCGCTTGTGAGCCATCCATACAAAGAAAAAACAATTAAAATGCCTTAAATGTTCTGCTTACTGCTGTTATTTGCTTGTGTGAATGTTGCATGTCAGCTAAATGGACCACGGAATAGATAAAGTGATTGGGTGCAGGAGAGTGCACACTAAGCTTTGTCTATCATTATTGCTGGGAGCAATCAAATTGATGCCAGCAGGACAGTAGACGCGTTGACAGCTGTAATTATGTATCTCCATGGTGATCACTTTTGGCCTGTCATGGAGGCCCATGAGTCCCCTCCCTTGCAAGCATTTAATCAGATTGGGCTGTCACTTGTCAGGTAGAGGGGTGGGCTGGGAGTTGTGCTTAGGGGGAGAGGTGAATTGAAAATGAAGGGTGGGAGATGCCTGACTGCTTCACGTGGTCTATCGTCGTACTGAAGAAAGAAATTTTAATTACGCTGGAGGCTTCAGAGCAATGGTTTGAGGAGCTCGTATGGAGTGTCTAGGCTGTTTTCTTTTGTTTACTTCTATTGTCATATTAAAAATAGAACAGCTATTTTTGTGTAGATACTCATGGTTTGGTATCTTAATACATATTTTCACAACTGTGAAACTAATTTCTCTCTTGAGAATGTCATGTCGCTAAGAACAAAATTAATATGACTAAAAAAAGTTCAGCGTTACAGGCCCATTGTGCCACAGTATTTGTTTTCTGCATTTTAGATTTTAGAATGTCAACAAGTTGGCTTGAAAAAATTAGTGCAGACTTGTACTGTGTCACAGAGTTCGGCTTATGAGTAGCATGTTGCCAAATGCATTTTCAATTCATTTCTTCTGTGTCTCAAGTTAGCTTTGGTTGTCTGTGTCAGCCGCTCAGGCTGGTAGAACTGGTGCGCGTGGCTGTGCGAGGTTGTTTTTTCTTAGCCATAGATAGGAATATGCTGGCTCCTTTTGTGTCGTGTAGTCTGTAATTTCCTTAGAACATGGTACTCGTACCACATTTTTTTTCCCGCTTTGATAATGAAGCTTAAGATAGGTAACCACAAAAATCCCTGTTACCTTAGTGAGCATTCATGTTCAGTGCTCTTATACAACATAGCAACTATACTGCCATATCTGAAGAGCTCCAGCGTTGCTCTTTGCCAGTATGATCGGTAGTCTGGTCTTTTAATGACTCTTATCAGAAACAGAAAACTCCTAGAATCTGATATGGCAAATAATTGAGAAATACTAGAACCTGTATGTGTTGGTAAGTGGAATTTGATGCAGTAATAGTTCATTGCAGGACTGGAACATAGGTTGTGGATTTTTTCCCCCCTAAAATTTCTTTTAATCTTTCAGTTTACTGTTGTCCTAGTGTAATAATACATAATGGTAGATTACCAACAAGGTGTAGGGTACAGTACGATCTTGAACCCTAGCCTTTCTTTTGGTATTTTAAATACTGAGTAAAAGAAAGGAAATCTGTTAAGCAGAAATAAATGCTGGAGGTCTAATAAACATTGCTATTATTTATCAAGTTAAGTGCATTATAGTGAGTATCTGTTGAATTTGGGTTTCTTTTTCATCCAATACTCATTAAGTTCTGTTACACTATATAGTTTATAAAATCACCTACTGTTACCAGGCTCTGAAAATGTAAGCAACACAGGCAGAATTGAAGATGGTAAATGTATTTCTTTTCTGCTGTCAATTTTTTAGTCATCTTGATTTTGTATTATGAAAATTAAAGTTCTACAGAGGACTCAAGATTTTTTTTTTAAAAAAAAACCAGAAATTATGCAGTAGTTTTTAAAGAATTTTAAATTATCACTGTAACTTTTTCAATTTTTAGGATATTGTGCTTAGGAAAAAGTGTAAATTATGTAGTGGTATTTAGAATCATAGAATCATTCAGATTGGAAAAGACCTTTGAGATCATCAAGTCCAACCATCAACTCTACCAAGTACACCCCTAAACTGCATCTCCAAGCACCACATCTGAATGACCTTTAAGCACATTAAGGGATGGTGACTCAATCACCTCCCTGGGCAGCCTGTTCCACTGCCTTGACAACCCTTTGAGTGAAAAAAAATTTCCTAATGTCAAGCCTAAACCTATTCTGGTGCAGCTTTAGTCCATTCCCTCTTGTTCTGTCGCTAATTACCTGTGAGAAGAGACCAGCACCTA